CAGAGTCAGGCCCGAGACGAACATGAGCAGTAGCGTAAGGAAGAAGGGGCCGAGGATGGTGGCGTAGAGAGCCTTGAAGGCTTGGCCGCCTACGTAACCGTCCGCCGCAGAAGAGACGGAGATCATGTAAATGCCTTTGTGCAAAGTTAGTCGTGAGTTTCTTGGGGAACAAGAAGCGAAAACGCCAAGTGAGATGGCCCGATGGGGTCTGTATCACTTGGCACCGCAGCGAGAGACACGAGCCGGACTTACCGAACTGGATAATGATCTCGCCAAAGTAGTTCGGATGCCGCGACACGCTGAAGAAGCCCTTGTCGCAGATGGCCTCGCGCTCCGGGTGGTCCCTCCGGAAGGCGTACTTTTGCGCGTCGCTCACGGCCTCCATGGTGAAGCCAACGACGAAGAAGATGATGCCGACGACGTCCCTGCCGGTGCCGAAGGAGTGCTGCGGGTACTGCGTAACGTTGGGCGAATTGAGCACGGTCACGGGCAGCGAGACAGTCCAGACCCAGATCATCTGGAAGATCCAGAAGCCGAGGAAGGGAAAGAATTTGTCGCGCTTGTCGTCGAAGCGATCGTCCTTGCCTGTCTTGATGATGCGGAAGAGGAGGAAGCCCGAGAGGCGCGCGGCCCAGAGCATGATGAAGATGGAGGCGACGACCTGGCGCGCATGGTGGTGGCCGCTGAGCGCGAGGGTGATGATTGCGAGGAGGACGAAGTTTGTGCCGCCAGCAAAGTCTGAGAGGTGGTGTCAGTTCAGAGGATCTGTGAGAGGGTTTGTGAGAGTTGGGGGGCGACGTGATTTCTTACCGGTGAGCTTGTCAAACTTGAAGCTGAAGGCTATTGAGAAGAATAATAGTTGATATGCTATTGTGATGAGAGCCGTGATAGCTAGGTAATAATCATCTAGAACGTGGACGACCGCCATCGTGAGCGGTTTGCTGTTGTCTCAATGTTGCGTGTTGATTGCTGTGTTGTCCAAGTCACAATTCAGAACCTGAGACGCTTTGGTAGGGTGTTGAAACACTTGGGACGATGGTTGTTGGTAAACCGCAATGGATTAAGTATTAGTGAGAGAGAGTGTCAAAGAACAGGATTCAATTCCAATCCTGCTGACGCTTTCATCATTGACTTCCGGAAGCTCTGGGTGAGAATGGTTGACTGAATCCTTCTGTAGTCGCGATAATCTGTCGCATAGCCTCAATCCAGTGAGAGACGACGATGGAAAAGAGAGCATTGTGTCGTCATTGACTTACTAGATCCACCGCGTTTGGCTCAGTTCCTCCAGGCCCGTGTACCGATGCCACATAATTTGTATGATGCGGGTACATGGCGCCATTCCAGCGATCGGAGTTTGACGAGCACCGAGGGCCGCGACCACCAGCCACAGGGCCACCAGCCACGAAAGACAGGGAATGTTTCTCGAAGCCGGTGGATCGACGCCACAGACCATCTGCCCAGACCTGGCTCCACTGTATTGAGTGAAACGAACGAGACTGGCAGTCCCGTCCCCCGATCATGACATCCCTATCCTTGGGCTTAATCGCAACGACTTATTGAAGCGCGGAAAGGGGTGGTGGTCTCACGCTGTCTTGGATTCCCTTTCCTCAATGCAAGGCGGTGCACCCTCGGGGCTTCGGAGACCTGCGACCAGAGACATGCCGCCCTCACCATGTCCTTCTTCAGCAGCAACAAATTGTCATCTATCTGAGGGGTCGATTCCAGACGGGCTCCGTGGAGGACTGCGGGCTTACCTCACCCACGATATTAGGAAGGGCCATCTTCCACCCAGTGCAACAATGCTATTGCTGCTCGCGACATGCTATCGCTGAGAGCTGCATGGCATCACCCAACCAGACCAAGACCGCCCGCCTGCCTCCAGGCTCTCCCTCTGGCCCGTGGCTTGCCGCATCGCCATGCGAGGCATACCTCACGACTGGACGAGATTTTCCAAATTGCATCAAACACGCACCGATGGCCCGCGACTTGTCTGACCCGTTTTGCCCAAGTGCTCCAGCCACTTGAGGCGAGTCCCCTACGAAGCGAGCGCTTCTCACGCTCTCAGCACCTTGGGACGATGGAGTCGTCTCAATGCCCTTCCTCTTCCGTTGTCCGTTCTCTTACAACGCCGCACGCAACCTGCGAAGGGGGAGGGGGCTACGCAATCGCAACGTGCTGGCGACACCTCCTGTCTCGACGGATGGGCTCATTGGCTGGGCTGGGAAGGGACGAAGTTTTGACTTTTGGTTCTTCTGCTGGTCTGCTTGCGTGCTGCGAATGCTAAAGCAGCAGAAAAGATGGGATGAGACCTAATACATCAGAGTGTCCAGTCCAGTGTCCGAGAGTCCGCATGGTTTCGCGACGCGAGCAGGAGTTGGGAGCAAAGGGCAGGCAATCAATCACAGCACTGCAAAAAAGAGTGCGTGCGGCGGCCGCTTCTCTAGTCTGGGAAAGAGACTGGAGGCTCCATCTGAATTGCTACGTGATGATAGATCCTCACGTGGATGCTGTCGCACACACCCCTCGTTTGTTCCCGCAGTAAAAGTCTACGCGACGACGATTGCTACACTGCGACTCTGACGGACGATGGATGTGATATAGGCATCCATCCTACGATATGGGCGAGCGACAAGCGTGTGTTTGGGGGCCACGGGGGTGGTGACTGACAGCGGTGCAGGGCGATCTCCCATGCCCACCGCCCACGATTCACATCGCTAACAATAGCTGTCCGGCTCTGGTACGGATCCTCTGGGGAAACGACGAGAGAGTTTTGTTTCCCGTCATTTTCCCATTTTCTGAGTTTTCTTTTTTTATACCTGCCGTATCCGTACCTACCCTTCATTTTTTGCCTCGAGTCAAAAACAGTTCGCAGATGCAGCATTGAGATATGTTGATGGTTGCGAGCTGGGATTGCGTGAAAGCGTAAAGGAGAAATATCCCGCTACCCGTCGGAAACATGTTTACCTTGCGGCTTCAGCTGAGCCTACCATTCTGAAGGAGGGTGAGACTGTGTAAGACTGAGGATGAGGGTTGGGGACTTCCCAGGTTTGAAGGGTTGAAGACCACACGATCCATGGACGAGAACAGATGTGGTCCATGGACAACCAAGATGCCGTACTCGCCGTGGAACATCATCGCATGACTTTACTCATCAAACAACCCATCACGTCACGCATCTCTGATCCGCCTACGGGACGAGATGCCGTACACCAGCGTGCGGTATGGGCTGCATCTGTGTGCTATCGGAAGGCAGCGCAACGTCTGAGCTAGCGCTGCTGTCACTGATCCCTAGCGCCCGAGGAATAGCACGGAAGAAGAAGGAATAGTGCCAACGAGCCACCAACGACGGAAGAAGAATGCACACGAAGAAGAAAATTCTGGCGCTCTCGCAGTTTCGGAGGCGCTGGGAGTTGAGGGGGGGCGAGTTGTGCGGCGCATCACCCCCCGTCTCAGACGGTCTCCGTCTGGGGCATGTCTCACACCCTGGACAATCAGCCCAAGGTTGTTCCATGCCAAGGGTCGTCGAATCCACTGCGCTTTGCTGCTCCAGGCCAGCATCTCCGATCGAAGCCTGCCAGAGATCCTCGACAGCGAGTCGGCAAGGCTCCCTGGATCTTCTTTCTTCTCTTTTCTTTTCTTGGCTGCCCTGAAGTGCGCAGGGCTAGGCTGGGTCCCGCCTACCGGCTACCGCGCAGCAGCAGCTGCTGCAGCTGGTTCCTGAACGACATCCCTGTCTTTGCATGTCTTCGCCCCTGTCTCTCGTCAGGAACCGCCTGCTTCTGCATTTCCCAGAGAGGCGGCGAAACGGGCAAGTCGTGACTGCTTCCCTTGCAAGTTGCCATCATCTGGGCCTCTGCCTCTGGGGGACCCTCTTGTCTGAGTCTCGCCCTTTCGACCAAGACCCAGAGATCGTACCAGCCGAGACCCCATCCCACGCCGTTCTGGTGTCTTTCCGCCGCGCTGCTACCCACTAGCCAACTTGGCATCAATTTGGCAACCGGTAAGCCGAAGCCTAAAGAGCCAATCTAGACGCCGGAGAGCGGCGTACCTTAACGGTCCTGGGCATTCCTGGGCGAGGGTGGTGAGTCGTGATGACCGCTGGTGGTCCCCTTATTTTCCCTTCCTCTCGCGATGTTCGTATTATCCATCGGCTCACTCCAAGCCCACCCCTAAAGCTGCGAGCGTCGTGCCTGTCTGCTCCCTCCCGTCCGATCTCTCTCTTCCTTCTTCTGCCCATTTGGCTCTCGCGTCTTCGAATTCTACGAAACTCTGTTTTGGGCTTGTTATAGCATAGCATTTCCTAGGTGGGAACACGGGAAAGACGGCATACCGTGACCTTTTCGCTCTTTGACCGAGCACCACTCCAACAACATCATCTTTCATACGATACACCCTCCACACCCGTGACCCGTCCCATCCATCCCACCACACCCACCCCCCCTGCCCGTGTGTTTGGTCGACTCTCATCAGTCTCCATCCCGCTACCGCTACCCTTTCCATTCAGGTACCAGCCTGGCAAGAGAGAGTCTCCACACGCCCACCACGGCTCCCCTGCTGCTCTTCTTCTCTCTCACTTCATTACTCAAAGGTCTTGGCCGTCCTATCTCTCGCCAAACTCTCCGGACAATGTTCTGCAGGTGGCCACCTGCTTGCCCGTAACTCTACTCCTCCTGCCTCCTCCTCCCCTTCTCTACCTTTACTCCCCTCACCCATCGTAATCGCGAACCTGGACCGGAGGGTTAGAGTAGTGCGAAGGTTTAACGGACCACTCTCCACCAAACAGAACACTCTTTTACAACAATCACCATAGGGTTGATCCCACCGAACTTCACCGACGGCTGGTCTGTTGCGGTAACCAAAAACGCTCTTTATACGGAAATCGACCTGTTAGTTGGGGAAGGAAATCAGGAAACATACGTCTGGAACGACAAAGTCGAGAAACGCTGGCGACGTCTCACGGTCACCAGCTTTCTTCTCGCAAACCATATTCGGAGCCCACGATGAGGCAAAGTACACTCTTCGCCGTGGCAGCTCTATCAACATTCGCTCAGGTGAGTTTCACACCGGGAAACTTGGGCTGGATATGACGAAAAAGGGGGACGAGGAAGAAGAGGTGACTTACACATAAAACCACAGGGCGCGGTAGTCGACAGGAAGGATACGCTTCAACCCAGGCAGATTGTCAACATTGGAGGAAATGGCGAGGTGGATGTGCAAGGAAATGGCGCGGTGCAGGTGAAGACGGTCAAGGCCGAGAACATCCAGGGCCTGACGGGAGCCAATAACGGCGGCATCCTCGCGGGCATTCTCGACGCACTCAATGGCGCCAACAGAGGCAACCGACAGAACAACAAGGGCCACCACGGCAAGGGCAAGACCAACAACAACAACTGCCCGCCGCCGCCGCCCCCGTTGACAGTGACCAAGACCGTCTACAACAATGCCTCGATCCCCGCGCCGTTGACGGTTTTCGTCACGCAAGCTGCTCCGTACGTTCTTCCTCAATTCCTCAATATGTCGTTGTGGGGATCTCCATGGGACATCAAAAGTACTAACATGTCGATAGCCCTCCCGTGACGGTAACTCAAAGTAATGCTCCTCCGCCACCGCCGCCACCACCCGCGGCTCCTCTCGTACCGCCCGCCGCACCACCGCCGGCACCTCCTCCGGCCGCTACGCCGTCGACGCCTGCTCCCATCGCAGCTGGTAAGATCCCTCTCGTCCTCTAGCTCCAAACCAGACTAACACCAGCCCCAGAACCTCCCGCCGCCGCCCCCAAACCGCCGGCAGCGCAACCCCCTGCGGCGTCGCAGCCCGCAGCCCTCCCGCAGGTCGGCGCCAATCCCGCCCAGGGCAACAACCCGACGACGTCCCTTAACCTCGGCGGCCTCAACGGCGGCGCCAACAACAACAACCAGCCCGCCGTCGCCCCCGCCGTCCCCGCCGCGACGGTGCCCGCCGCCGTCAACAACCCGGCCGCCGCCCAGCCCGGCGTCAGCGGCCTCCAGCTCAGCAGCAAGCTCGTCCTCGGCAACCTCGTGCAGCAGACCATCGGCCTCCAGGCCCGCGCGACGCCCGACGCGCAGGTCCACGCGGCGGTCATGCCCGCGGGCTGGAAGGAAGACGACGAGGCGTGAGGGACTGTGGTTGGTTAGCATTGGAAGTTGGCACGAAACCGCCTTTCTATACCCGGACTTCCTCGCCGAACCTTGTCGACTTTTTCACTTCATATGCGAAGCGTAATTGTTGGATTTGCAGCTGGGAGACCGAAGTGGGGGAGGGAGGGCATCGTTGACGAGATGAAAGCACGGTTTGCAGCAGCGGCATACGAATACCCTAGAAGACGTTTGGTTGGATTTACTTTTTTTCGATTCTTGGTGGGCGGAAGTGGTGGTACTAATCGGTATTCCAAAAAGGGGAAGGGGGGATGAGTATTGGTACATAGGAGGAAGATGAGGCGGAACGTCACCGGACAATGGAAGCGGACCAAGGTCATCTCTTCTCCCCTTTCCATGTCCGGTTGCGCGAGGCGAAGAGGTAATCGGCCGCTCCTCCGTTTTTGACGAGGAAGTGTTGGATGAGGAGCGGCCAGCAGGCTTTCACACACAAAAAACCCCAGCTGTATATAATTCATTTCTCTATTTGACACACACAAAAGCACATCATCACAAAACCCCCTGAAAAGCACTATTCACACATCACACCTAGCTTACGATAGCATTGCACGAATCGGAGAATGAGCAAGTCTCATGAATGCCCATGCTGGCGTGGTGCGTGAAAGACTGTCCCCTGGCCACTATGCATATCCCACAGAAAGTGTAAGTTGTAAAAAGAAAGGTCGCAAGGCTGATAATCATGCTCTTGGTTTTCGAAAGGGGTATCATAAGGGTTAAATGACATGCTGCCCAGCCCATCGATTCTGCTCTCCTTCAAGCTCGTCACGGAGCCCATTGCCAGTTCTACGATGACGCCTTCTCCTTTTCCTTCTGCGCTAACCTCAACTTCTTCGCCTGCCTCTTGCTGATGGTCGGCTGCGGGCTGTCCCCCGAGTCATCAGGCGTCTTGCGCTTCTGGGCGTTGCCGCCCTTGTCGCCGCCCTGCTTGGCTTTGCCGTCCTTCTTCCCCTCGGCCTTCTTCTTGGCCTCATCCTCCGCCCGGCCGCCGACCTCAAGAACATTCACAACTCCCCTAAAGCCAGTCCTCTTGATCCCCTCGTTCGCGACCACGCCGCGCGGGTTCACGCCCAGCGCCTCCGTGCCCTTGTCGCTGCCGAGCCCCCATACGGCCATCAGGTTCACCACGTCCGCCGGCGCGCGCAGGTCGAGCGCGGACCTGGCCTCGCTGCTGACGACGACGCCGCGGCCCTTTGTCGCGCGGAGGAGCGACGCGAGGTTGGAGATGAAGAGTGCCCTCGCGCGGGCGTCCGGCGGGCCCTGGCCCCCGGGCGCCGAGAGCACCTGGGAGTAGCACACCTCGAAGCGCACGCCGCGGGCGACGGCGGCCATCAGCGGCTTGGGACGGAAGTGGAAGGGGAAGTGCTGGGTCATGTCGAGGGAGATGAGGGAGGGCTCGGCCATGTTGAGGCAGGCGGCCTGGAAGGCCTTTTCGGTGGTGGGGCGGACGGCGAGGATGTCGTAGGCGGCTGCGAGGGCGGGCAGGCGGTAGTTCTGGGCGGGGTCGGCGAGGAGGACTGTTGCGCGGTGGAGGATCGTCGGCGTCTTTGTGGATTGTGAGGGTGTCGTTGTCGTTGTTGGTGGGAATTTCGGGAGTGGATTCGTTATTTGTGATGGGATCGGGGGTGTTACTGTGTGGTTGAGAGCAACTACTGCGTACCCCAGCGACGAGGCGAAGTTGATTGTGCGGTTGAGTTCGTCGCGGGGCGTGGAGGGTGTCCACGGGATATTGAGGTCGTAGAGCATTTTTGAAGCTATCGCGGGTTGACTGGCCGTCTGGTGTAAGAGTCAGAGGTTGCCAGAGTTTCCTGCCGTCAGGGGCAAGTGTCTATTCCCAATTCACTCCGTGCGCAGTGACTCGGTACTTGAGTCTGCTCTTACGCCTCGGCAATTGGCTCTCGTCGCGATGTTCTTGTTGCGCAGTCGAATGTCGCGTGGTTGTACAGCTTTGCGACGCGGGTGGAAATTTTTCGAGGCAGTCGGAGATCGGTGAAGTTGGTTCCGCGGTGCGGGCGGCGTGACGCTGTGGGGAGAGAGTTGAACCATCGGCGGGGGTACTTCGGGCGTGCATGGCGCTAAGAGGTTTGCGCTAGTGGGCACCTGGAAGCCACCCGGCGGTCTGTCAGGCCCGTCACCTCTTCGGGGCTGTCGCGTTGCAGCGGCGGGAAGGACGGGCGGGAACATCGGGCAGGAGTGGAGGCGCAAGGGCGGGTGACGCTATCGCCTCATCGTCATCGGCTGCCTCAACTCTCTCTGCTGAAGCTTTTCTGGTGATGACAGAAGGCGATGGAACTCACGGGCTCGTTTGAAGGTGTCGTTGGAGAGGCAATAGACGACGCAAGGCCTATGGCGCAGTTTCTACTGTGGCTGCAGCAGCAATCTGGATCTCGAAGGCTGTCGGTAGTCCACGGATGACCCCGGGTTTTCAGCCGGGCAGGCGAAGGGGCAGCTGAGCCAGTCGAGCTGGGAGTGACCTCGCTCCGAAAGCATGAGCCTAATCCTGGGGGAAATTTCCCCTCACTATGTCTTCTACTGCATAAGAATTGCAGATGACGGGGTAGACAACTGTACTGCATTACTTGCTTCTCCTGTCACGAAGCACGCTCCATTGCCAAGATGTCAGAGAGGTCACGGGCTGCCTCTCGACTTCCCAGGTCCCAGTCTTCAAGAGAAGGTTCGAAAGGCCTTCTCTTGCCTCCGAGGGACATGCCGTGCTTGCTAGTGAAAGATGTTAGCGGTCACTTTTTTTTTCGACAGGACCGCCAAGGATGCACCGCCTCATCAGTACACGCAAGACCAGTGACACACCCAACTCGATCGCCGGGCCATCAATCAGCGTCCGCAGTTCATCCCTCTTTTCTTTTCGTGCCAGTCGTATCATTCCCTCAGCTCGCTGGCCAGAAAAAAAAAGCTTGGGCCACCCTCTAAAAAGCCATTGAGTAGCCCCCTTCTTCACGCCTATCAGAAATCGACTTTCTCCTAGGCGTGCAACTTAAACACCCCGTTGGTCCCCTCCCAAGCCAACTGCTTCTACAGCAATCCCACGCTTCCGGTTCACTCTCCTACAACCACCGGCTTACCTAGGACGCGAACTGGTCCGACTATTTTTGAATGGGAAGCGCGCCGTGTACTTCGTCTTAAATCCGTTTGAGCGCGACATCGACAGACGCCAATCCGATTGAGAGCCGGGAGTACATCATCAGCCGACGTCCAAAGATCCCGCCAAACTACTGCACCTGTGCGCCGCGTCTTGCGCCGAACACTCCGATCCGACCGCCGAAATGTTCTTCTTCTTCGTGTGCGGCGAGCACACCTTCCGCAAGCCTGTCGAGGGCTACGAGGGCATGGTGTGCCAGTGCTACAACTGCGGCAACATGGCCGGGCACGTCATCAAGAGCCATCCGTGGTTCACCTTTTGCTGGATTGTGAGTTTGATTCTGAACCTGGCCTCAACTTGGCGCATCACAGCCTCGCTGGTTGCCATTGGAGCAGGCGACCCCAGGCCGTCAAGATCTGATACTCCAAAAATTTCGCTCAACAAACCGTCTGATAGAGTGCAGCTGACAATCCATGTCCTAGCCCGTCATTCCTTTGTCATTCAAGGGCTACACCGACGTAGTATGCCATATTTGCAACTTTGCCCAGCCGTTGGAGAACAGACCGGATGTCACGGCAATGAAGGGTGGCGGCGGCTACCAGCAGCATCCTCAGCCGGTTCATGGACAGCCTCCTCAGGGCTGGGGACAGCAACAGCCCCATTACGGATGATTTGATTCTAGTAGGAGGGGGCCATGGATTGCGCCGACTTCACGTGTTTCGGGGAAAGGCTCACAGCATCGACCCTGGGTTGATGAAGGTGCCAGAGATGTTCATGTCCTCCGGTCACCTCGAAACGCACAAGATGCAGGGGAGTCTTCAGCTGGGTTCTGGGAAAAGATACCAAGTTCGCGGGCGTTTAGGCAATGGTTATTATTATGAGTATCGATGCGACGAATCAAGCAATTTCTTAACAACGTCGTGCAGGGGATGATAACAATCTGTTGATGATAAAGGGCGTTATGCGGGCTGGAACGTTGGGGCTGGTTAAGGATGACAAATGGAGAATTGCAGAAAGACGGATCAATGATGCCTATAGGAGCTTCGTTGAGTTTCTCGGCCTACACATGGCAGAAATGAGGTTCTGGATTTGCCATTTTTCATTAACATTTACCTAGTACTGCTCCTACTTCGACCTACTGAGGCGGGAAGAGACAAGGATTTCAGAATTTGAGCACCGTACTCGTTACCTATTGTGAGGTCATTCAAATCGATATTCCCAAGGATTTATTTTTGACGCATCGATTTTGAAATCATTTAGCTTGGAGTAGATACAGTAGTGATTGAGCTGCTATGTAGTCTCAGTCTCATTCAACCATCTCATCAGCGATGGCTACTTCTCATCTTCAACTCGGCACAACTCTTGATGCAAACAGACGGACCCAATTTTCTCAAGCGTTCTTGTAAAATTCAAGACAATTCATCAAAAATCGTCCACAATTATTGACTTGCCCAATTATTTTGTCCCTTATTGATGACTTTGTGGTTGACATGAAAGCATTCGCTCTGAGGTATGACGTACAAGCTTCAGCCACATGTGGATATGTGGCGGTGCAACGCTCTGAACTCTTTCCTGGACTGCTTCCGTCATGTCGACAAAAGCATCGGACAAACCACCAATGAACCTCGGCCATCTTACGATCTCCAGAGAAACCCCGACTGCGATCGTCTGCGTGATGCTCGTCGCGCAGTAACGACACCCCATCCCAACGAACCTCTCTCGATATCCCGAGATCAACCGCTCTACAATGGCGTCCGCAAAGCGAGGACCATCGGTTCTTGTTCGTCGCAACCTCTCCCGTCCCATCAACATTCAATTATGTTGATTGAATCCCGTCACACTAACGCAAGCTTCGGCCACAGGTGACCGACTCGCGAGAACGCCCACCGCCCCGCGGCGCCCTTCAGCGTCAGAACACGGGCATCGGCGCCGTCCAAGGTCGTCCCGCCATGCGCTTCATCTCCGTCGACAACGTCCTTTACCATGCGTCCGAGATCCCCTCAGGCCAGCCCCGTGTGGCGCCGCCTGCACCCCAACGACCCGGTGCTGTCGGCTCTTCTGCCAGCGTAGCAGGATCTCGCCGCGTCAGTGCCGGCCCTGGCGGTGGCGGCAGCAGCGGCCTCCCGAACCTGCAGTCCCGAACCGGCCAGCAAAACATGCCGTCGCGCACGACGAAAATCAGCGAGAAGCTCGTCCTGCTTCCCGAAACCGACGACAAGCCCGGCTCCGACGAGGACCTCGACGAGGAGGCGAGCAGGATGGCGCGACAGATGGAGGAAGAGGAGAACCGACCCCTGCGCGACGAAGAGCTCGATGTGCTCCGCAAACGGGGTGGCATCCGCGGCAAGTCGTACGCGGAGCGTCTGCCCAAGGTGCAGCGCAAGGAGAAGCTGGCCCGCTTGACGGCGTACTGCACCGCGCAGTCGTATAAGATGCAGTCCACGGCCGAGTTCCTCCGCAAGAAGCACGAGGCTAAGACGAAGCTCTACGACGACTGCCTCTACGTGATCTACTCGCTGCCGCTGCTCAACGGCAACGAAGGCTACCGCGTGCGCAGCCGGCCCATTGTCAAGACGCCCGGCAGCGGCAAGACGGTGCTCGATCTGGAGATCGAGCGTAGCGAGCAGCGAGACCACCACGAAGGCTACTTTGACGAGTTCGCGTACTCGGGTAGCCCCGTGAACGGAAACGGCACGTACGATGATTCGCTGCGGCACCGCGAGCAGAGCCCCGACGATGGGAGCGCATCGCCCTTCGCGCGACTGGCGCCCGATGCGAAGAACTTTGCGGAGGTGTTCTTGTTCTCCTACGGCGTCGTGGTGTTTTGGAACTTTACAGAGTACCAGGAGAAGGACATCCTGGCCGACTTGACATTCGCGCAGAACGAGAACGGATTGTCCCTGATCACGAGACCCCTCGATGAAGATGACTTTGAGACGGAGGAGTTCCACTTTGAGTACAGCGCCGACGTGAAGAGGCCGCGCATTTTCAATGACATGATTACGCTGCTGCCGCGGGGCGACCACATGGTGAAGCTGACCATCAGCCACGCCATCGCACAAAGCACCAAGCTGTGTCTTTTCGAGGAGCGCATGAGCGAGACCATGCTGGACGCGCAGCACGTACCCAAACGACTTGCCCTCACAGGCGAGCTCAACATGACGAGAACGGAAATCGTCAAGATTCTTGGACGCCTCTTCAAGTCTCGTGTCGATATCAATCTCTGTAAGTTTTACTTCTCTCACGCCACCGGATTCTGCAGACCATAAACCTAACGTTGCACCTTACAGCATCAAACATTCTTGAC